CAGCATAAATTATTCTAGGATTTAAACATTGCATTAAGGGCTGGAGAGATGGCTTCGAGGTTAAGACGATGTACTGCTCTTGCAGAGGACCTGGATTCTGTTTCCAGCCCGCTCATTGGGCGGCTCACAACTGGATGTAACTCCAGCTCCTGGAGATCTAAAGCCTGAGGCTCCCATGGACACCCTCCACCTACATGCACATACCCCAACACACAAGCACACACACAAACACACAGTTGAAATATATTATATTGAAGGCTTTTTCTTTTCTTTTCTTTTTTTTGAGACAGGGTTTTTCTGTGCAGCCCTCGATGTCCTGGAATTTGCTCTGTAGACCAGGCTGACCTTGAACTCACAGAGATCCACCTGCTTCTGCCTCTGGAATACTGGTATTAAAGGCGTGCGCCACCACTACCTGGCCTGATGACTTCTTTTCTAATCCCCCAAAAATCTTTTTGGGGGTGTGGAGTGATGCCGGGATCCACTATCACTGAGTTGTACTCCATCACATCAGAATTGCCTATCTGAATGTCTCGCTGTCATAGATGCAGTGAAGTCAGGAGCCAGTCATGCAGCACTGTCTGTCTTCCTCCACTTCTCTTTGGGAAGTAGCCTTTGCTAGCTTCTGCCTCCATGCCCAGTTATTCTGAGGTACGTTATTAGAAACATATGAGTATATGGCCTTGTGGCACAGGCCTATAATAACAACCATTAGAGAGGTTAAGGTAGGAGGGTCGTAAATCCAAGGTCAGCCTGCATTACACAGTGAGTCAAGGCCAGTCAGAGCAACTTAATGAGAAACCCGACTAAAAAGAAAAAGTACTAGCAGAGCTGGTGATGCCTTGTTCACATGGAGCCAGCCTAGCTATCCACCCACAGATGAGTGGATAAAGAAAGTGGGAGAGAGAGCTGGCCCTGGTGGCTCACACCTTTCATTCCGGTACCTGAGAGGCAGAGGCAGGGGGCTCTCTGAGTTTGAGGCCAGTCTGGTCTACACAGTGAGCTCCAGGACATCCAGGGTTACATAGAGAGACCCTGTCTCAAACAAACAAACAAACAAACAAACAAACATGTGGTAGATATGCACAATGGAATTTTATTCAGCTATGATGAAAAGGTGAAATTATGACATTTGCAGGAAAATGGACGAAACTGGAGATCATTGTTAGATATAATAAAGACTCACAAAACAACCATTACTTGTCTTTTTCATACATAACATTTAAGTTTAAACTTTTGGGGAAGGGAACAGCAGAGTGTGATGGACATGTGGCATAAAAGCATAAAAGACCCCCAGAGGCTCAGACTCCCAGGACCCAATCACCAGGTGGAGGCGAAAACTTGATGCAAACAGCATCAGGGCAAGCCTCCACCCAGCTAAAGCTACAACTTGTGAATGAGAGCCTAGGGTTTCTTGGTCTGAGAAGTAAACGGCATACAAAAGCTGATGCAACTGTGGTTCAAGGGTCCAGGGTCCAACCCAAGCTGTCACTGCCATTCATGTGGTACTGGTTTTGGAGGTGTGAAAGTTTAATCCTGGGAATTTCATAACTATATCTTAAAAACAAAAACCGCTGTATTACGGAAAATTTCAAGAATATGTGAGTAAATCTTAAAATGAGTCTTTTTTTTTTTTTTTTTTTTTGAGACAGACAGGGTTTTTCTGTGTAGTCTTGGCTGTCCTGGAGCTCAATCTGTAGACCAGGCTGGCCTTGAACTCACAGAGATCCGCCTGCCTGTGCCTCCTGACTGCTGAGATTAAAGGTGTGTGCCACCACCTCTGGGCTATGAGTCTATTAACCCACTTTCATGAATACAATATGACTGGTCCTGTTATCCCCCCCCTTTCTTCCTCCCCAGCAGGTGCTCACCATCCAGGCTATTCTTAAACTTGTGACAGTGCTCCTGCCTAGATTTCCAGAGTGCTGGGATCACAAACATACACTATCATGCCTACTTTCTTATTGATGCTCTGTAAGTGATGAGATTAAAGTTACCAGCCACCACCCCTTTCTCTCTCTCTCTCTCTCTCTCTCTCTCTCTCTCTCTCTCTCTCTTTCAAGACAGGGTTTCTTTGTGGCTTGGGAGACTGTCCTGGAACTCATTCTGTAGACCAGGCTGGCCTCGAACTCACAGAGACCCACCTGCCTCTGCCTCCTGAGTGCTGGGATTAAAGGCACCACCAATGCTGGGCTTCCCTGACTCTTTATTTAGTAATAATGTGCAGTATGCATGAAGAAGCTTATACTTTTTAAGGAAGAATAGTACTTCACTAAATGATGCAGTAGTACTTTTTCATCAGGACTGCCATCCTGCAAATAATGTCATGGAGACTTATTATTAATTATGAAAATTTGGACTTAATTTAGTCTTGTCTCAATTATCTCTTATAACTTAAATTAACCCACTTATATTAATCTACCTCCTGCCACATGGCATTGCCTTTCTTCCATCTTGTACCTCCTGTTTCCTCTCTGTGTCTGCCTGGCAACTTTACCTTTCTTCTTCCCAAAGTTCTCTCTTTGCCTGGAAGTTCTGCCTATACCTCCCACCTTGCTATTGGTCAGTCAGCTTTTTATTACATCAATTGCAGCAATCCATCTTCACACAGGGTACAAATATCTCATGACAGTATGGGAAACTGCATTTTGATTAGCCACTCACACTCGTTTGTCTAAGGAACTTGGCTTCCTTCTATCTTTTGGTACTTCTGAATAATATTCCTGTGATCAAGTATATATAAATATTTCTTAAGATGTTTTGTTCAGTCATTTTGAGTTGGTATATGGGAATGAAAATCATGAGTTATATTTCAAATCTATTTTTTAGTTCTCTGAGGAACCTCCATACTGTTTTCCATAGTGTACCATTGTACATTGTTTTTTTTTTTTTTAAAGATTTTACTTATTTATTATGTGTACAACATTCTTGCTTCCATGTATATGTGCACACCAGAAGAGGGCACCAGATCTCATAACGGATGGTTGTGAGCCACCATGTGGTTGCTGGGAATTGAACTCAGGACCTCTAGAAGAGCACTCAGTGCTCTTAACCTCTGAGCCATCTCTCCAGCCCCACCATTGTACATTCTTACATTCTCAACAACATTGCACATTTGGTCCAAATTTTTTTTTCAAGTCAGGGTTTCTCTGTGTAACAGCTCTGGCTGTCCTGGGACTCGCTTTGTAGACCAAGCTGGCCTGGAACTCACTGAGGTCCACCTGCCTCTGCCTCCCAAGTGCTAGGACTAAAGATGTATACCACCATCACCTGGCATTGTTCAATTCTTTACATACTTGACAAAACATTTTTTTTTGTCATGTTGGTGGATCAAAACCAGGGCTTACAGCATATTAAACAAATATGACACAAGGAAACTATATCCCAAGCACCAACAATGTCCTCAGAATCATTCCATCATGATGTGTGTTTTATTAAAGGTCTAGGAGTCATTGTAATTATGATTTATTAATTGTTAAAGTCACAGTAACAATAGCAGTTATGCTGACCAGTCAGAAAAGAGGAAAAAGTGGTATAATTTACATTCTTTGGATAAACTTTTTGGTTTACTAAGTACAAACTGAAACTTATTTTTTTTTTCTGGTCTTTCTTTTTTAAAAAGGTTTTTTATTTATTATGTACACTGTATTCTGCCTGCATGTATGCCTATATGCCAGAAGAGGGCACCAGATCTCATTATAGATGGTTGCAAGCCGTCATGTGTTTGGTGGGAATTGAACTCAAGACCTTTGGAAGAGCAGCTAGTGCTCTTAACCTGTAATCCATCTCTCTAACATCCCTCCTTTTTTGAGACAGTGTCTCTCTGTAGCTTTGGAACCAGTCCTAGAATTCACTCTGTAGACCAGGCTGGCCTCAAACTCACTGAGATCCACCTGCTTATGCCTCCTGAGTGCTGGGAGTAAAGGCATGCACCAACACCACCACCTGGCCTTAAACTTATTTTTATACTTTCTTATTCATCCATTATAGTAAATATGTAAAGGAGAGTGTATAAGTAAATTATGGTGAGAGGAATCTGATGCTTGGTGGACTGCCTGTTTCTGAGCAGAACACTGAGGGATCAACCTCATCTAAGGGGAAGGTTAGGTTCTGTCTCTTTGCAGAGTTAGATGAACTAGTGGTGAGTCCCTTGGGGATGAACATTCACATGACCAAGATTGACTGAGAGACTTGGCAGTGTAGGCACCGAGATTTCACCATGCGGATAGATTGACTATTCAACTTGAAAAGCTAGAGGACAAAACAGAAACACAGCAAAATACATAATGGGTCCAAGCCAAAGGTCCCACGAAATTTGCTCACACTTGTAGCCCTGGCAGCTCAGTGATAGCTTGTTCATCTCACATAGACCATGCGGTACTCCTTTGGCCTAATTATGCTGTGGCTCTGGTCCACTTCCTAGTTTTCTCTTCATGTAAAATTTCACAATAGGCTTTTCCTTTGGGCATTAAGAAATATATTATTTGAAAAGACCACATTGCACTCTGTTTTCTGGGTTGTTTAATTCGAAAAAGCACCATTTCAAGAGAAGGTTTATTCCTCAAGCAGGCAAGAGCCCCTCTTTACCCATTCACCTACCTGGGGTAGCCATAGGGAATCCCCAGTCAGGCCTGTTAGGAAGCCAGCAAGTATCCCTAGTTCCTTGTCTAACACGAGGTGTTGAGGCATATATTGAACTGAGAACTGTAGATTATAGTAGAAGGGCTTGACTGGTGATGACCAGGACACCAAAATCTCATTGGATGCTTTTAGAATGTCAAGTGTGCCGATCTGGGAGATTGTGTGTTACTGTCTACTTCTGTGGCAGCGGGGAGCTGTTTGTGTGGATCAGAAACTGAGAAACGCCTAGGAGGTTGTATTTTCTCTTCATCCATGTCTCATCTCATTGTGTGAATCTGTGTGTCTACATAGATGAGATGTAGGAAGCCTCATGAAACCCAAGCTGGAACCCGCATGTCTTCTCAGTAGAGGAGGGGTATTCACACCTCACTCTTAGCCCTCTGGCCTCCTATCATTCTCCTCAAAGCCAATTTCACCTCCTGGTTCCTCAGAGTATAGATGAGGGGGTTGAGGAAAGGAGTGATGGCTGTGGGGAAGAGAGCAGCTGCCCCATCCAGGACACTGTGGCTGTCAGGTCGCAGGTAGATGAAGGCACAGGGCACATAGTACACGGTGACAATAGTCACATGGGCTCCACATGTTGAGAAGGCCCTTCGCCGTCCGTCAGCTGTGCGGATTCTCAGGATGGCCCGGATGATATAGATGTAGGAGAGGAGGATCAGGGAGAAACAACTGGCAACCACCACTCCAATGTCCACAAAGGTCACCAACTCATTGACTGTGGTATCTGCACAGGCTAGCTTTAAAACTGCAGGAATGTCACAGAAGAAGTAATCTACCTGGTTGGGACCACAGTAGGGCAAGCGGAAGGTTAGAATGGCCTGGATTGCTCCATGGATTGAGCCAGCCACCCAAGCCCCAGCTACCAGCAAGGTACTCAGCTTGGCAGACATGAGTACTGGGTAACGCAGGGGTTGACATATTGCCAGGTACCTGTCATAGGCCATTGTGGTGTAGAGGAAACACTGGGAGCTGCCCAGAAAGTGATAGAAATACAGTTGAGCCACACAACCCCCAAATGGGATAGGCTTAACACCCAGAGTAAAGTTCATCATGAGACGGGGGACAATGATGGTAGAGATGCCCATGTCAATGATGGAGAGAGCACCAAGGAAGATGTACATGGGGCGTGCATGGAGCTGTGTGTCTGCAGAGACAGTGATCAGGATGAGCAGGTTCCCCAGCTGAGTCAGGATGTAGATTAGCAAAAAGAACACAAGTAGAAATGTCCTTAGCCTGGGAGGGTGGGGAACTCCCGTCAGGATGAACTCAGTCAAGAGTGTGTAGTTGACTCTTTCCATCTTTGGGAGATATGTTACCTGGAGGACGGACAAGCAGAGGTTAGCATAGGTGGCCTGAAAGTGAGGGGGACTGAAGAAGGAGACTGTGGGAACCTGGGGTGGTGGTGGGAAAGTTCTGTGGAGATATGACCCTCATGGAGGACCTGCATATTCTCTCTCTCTCTCTCTCTCTCTCTCTCTCTCTCTCCCTCTCTCTCTCCCTCCCTCTCTCTCTCTCCTCTTCTCTCTCTCTCTCTCCTTCTCTTTCTCTCTCTCCTTTTGTAGTACTGACTACTCATGCATGCTGGCAATCACATTACAATGACCAATGGTAGCAGTGAATTTTTATTACAAAGCCACACAAATCTAAAAATATTATGATAGTTCATGATTTTTTTTTTTTTTTTGCTTTTTGAGACAGGGTTTCTCTGTGTAGCTTTGGAGCCTGTCCTGGGACTCGTTCTGGAGACCAGGCTGGCCTTGAACTCACAGAGATCCTCCTGCCTCTGCCTCCCTTATGCTCGGTGTAAAGGTGTGCACCACCACCGCCACCTGGCTTAGGAGCAAAGGGAATTTGATACAGTATATTTAATCTGGGCTGTTCAAGTTCTGAGACATTTGCTCTGGTAAATTGCCAGAATCTTTATCTAAGGGACACTTCCACCTTCTCTTCAGATGCATGACCTTTTCCTTTTTCCTTTAGGTAGTAGTGAGGATTTATTGATGGAGTTTCACTGCATTTTCTTCCTGAATCTGTGTCTCTCTCAGAGCAGATAGTCTTCACTGCCCTCTTACCTATTTCCCTAAATTCTTACTTTTCACACTATTTTTTTTATGTTAAGGAATTTATTTTCTTCCTCCTCTTCCTTTGCCTCTTGTTCCTCGTTTTCCATCTTCTCTTCTGCCTCCTCCTCTTCTTCCTTCTCTTGATCTTCTTCCTCTTTCCCCTTCTTTTCCTCTTTCCCTCCTCCTCCTTCTAACCCCAGTGCTGAGAATTGAATCTAGGCCCTTGGGTATAGAAGGCAAGTGTCTACACTGAGCTATACCCCCGTCAAGAATGTTCTGTAATTATTATCCAGAAAGAGTAATTTCTTTTGCAGAAGTTACCATTGCTAGTGAGTTGTAGTTCATGCTCAGTGTGAATTGCAGCCCACCCACACAAAGCTGGAGAGAACAGTATTTCTTAAGCCTGTCCTTGGATGACAGGACTTCTTATCCATCCAAGGACACAGTTCTATTTGTAACACTGAGCGTCTATTTGATGTGAAGTCTTTCCAGGTGCAAAATTTTCCTGTCATTTCCTTTTCCTCTCAGTTAATTGTAAATATTAAATAAAAACTGTAAATATCAAAAAAGGCCACCTTCCCTTCTCCTCTGACTGTCAGCGCTGTTCCCTCTGGGTCATGGCCATTGCCACAGATTTTTAAGCATGAAGGTTGTTATCTACAGAGCAATCACTCTATGATATAGTTTGACCTATTAATACCCCCAGACCTGGCTCTGAGACAATTTCATGCCTTCCAAGGACAAAGATGGGGAGATGAAGGAGGAAAGAACAGAGGATCAAGGAGAGAGAGAGGAAGGAAGAAGCATGGCAGAAAGGGAAAAAGAGACCACGTACTGGTGAAGTCTCATTTGGGTGGAGATGGGGCTTAATGGAGAGCACTGGGCAGTAGTATATGGAATACTCTGGCTTCAGAACCAGCACTGAGACAGTAACACTGTGGCCTCACTCTCATTGGAGTGAGGTAGTAAAAATCAAAGACTAAAGTTTTGTATGCATGTAATTATATATGTAAGAAGAATTGAAGAACAAGAGGCCATGCATTTTAGGGAGGTCTGGGAATGGCTGGAGAGATGAGAGAGAGAGAGAGAAATGGGCAAATATTTTAGTTGAAAACAACAAAAAAGCAAAACAAGATAGTTTATAGATTAATAATATCATTTGTATCCAGGTGGAGTTCTTGTAATCCCCAGAGGTTAAATGACAGAGAAATCTCACAGCTGGATAATGGAGTATGGCTTCCAACCATGCCTGTGGTTGCCTGTCCAGAAGTTTTCTGTTTTACTGAATATCCACAAATAACAATTCAAAATAACTTAGTAAAGCATCAGTTTGAATAATGAGTTTAAAGAGTCAAAGAGTCTAACTGTTTCAAAACATAGATGACTCAGTGGACAGAATTGGTATTCATGTGGCCTCATGACCTGACTTCAATTTCCAGAAACCAAGTTAAAAAGTCCGAGATGCTGGTGCACAGTTGTAACCTCAGCTTTCCTTGGCCAGTGAACCAGTGAGATGGGAGAATGGAACAGGAGTGGTGAGCAGGGAGCAGGAGATAGCAAAATGACATAGAAGCTTCCCGGATAGCTAGCCTGGAGTACAGAGCATGGCTGAAATAAGAGGGCCTCACCTCAAGAAGATGGGAAGAGAGGAATGACTCCATGCAGGCATGCACGCAAGCACACAGGCACCCACTCACTCACTCACCCACCCACCCACTCACTCACTCACACACCCCACATAAAAAAGATAAAAGTCTCCAAATACAAAACACTCCTAGATGTAATGAAATGCATCTTTTAAAATTCTTTTATGTATTTTTATTTTATGCTGGTGTTTTGACTGCATGTATGTCCAAAGGAACTGGAGTTGCAGACAGTTGTGAGGGGCCATTCAGATGGTAGGAATTGAATGTTGGACCTCTGGAAGAGCAATCAGTGCTCTTAACCACTGATCCATCTCTCTAGCCTCAGAATACCTCTTTTTTTGAGGTGTGTCTTGTATTCTCAGTTGGTCTTGGGCTCATGTGTCCAATGATAGGTTGAGCTTCTGATCTTCCCACCTCCACCCTTGTCCCTCTACCAACTGAGCCACACCCTCAACTCCTGTGCAAGTTCTACAACAGATAAGACTCAAAGTTTGTTGCTGTGAAATTACCTATGCTTTTTCACCACTCTCCCCAGCCCCCATAGGGTTTCTCTGTGTAACAGCTCTGGCTGTCCTGGAACTCACAGAGATCCGCTTGCCTCTGCCTTCCAAGTGTAGGGATTAAAGGCATGCGCCACTACTGCCTGGTTTAAAAAAAATTTTTTTTTGATATGGGGCACATGTAGCCCTGTCTAGTTCCTGCTCACCTGTCTCTAGGGAACAAGCACTGGGATTCCACGTGCCTGTCCTCACTCAGTTTCAGAGTTACATATTTTAGACGGTGTGTTTGAATCCTTCTCACTAGCAACTATCAGTGATGCAATTTAACTTTCTTGGTTTGCATGTTTGTATCATTCTTACATTTGCAAGGATTTCTTTTGTTAGTTCCTAACTCTACTTACATGTCTCATCTCTTGTCCCTTTTCTGAATTTTACAATAAAGCTTTTAAACAAAAGGAAATCTAAATGTGAAGTACATTAAAATGAATAAGTGTGTGTGTGTGTGTGTGTGTGTGTGTGTGTGTGTGTAATGAAATCTGAGACAAGAAACTAACAAAGTCCAAAAAGAATATGAAACCCAAGGGCTGGTTGTGGTGGCACACACCTTTAATCCCAGCACTCGGGAGGCAGAGGCAGGCGGATCTCTGTGACTTTGAGGCCAGCCTGGTCTACAGAGTGAGTTACAATTCAGGCAAGGCTATATAGTGAGACACTCTCTTAAAAAACAAACAAACAACAAAAACGAAAACAAACAACAGCAGCGGGAACAACGACAACAGAAACAAAACAGAAAAGAAGAATATGAAGCCGTTAGTAACAGTCTGCATTATCCATTTAATACATTCACTAACACAACCACAAGATTCCCACTTGCTTAATCTAACCTTCAGATTCTGGGCAGAGCTGGGGGCAGTGACTTGATGAGGACCACACAGGATCACACGTAGAACCACCACAGACACCAAGACATTCTCACCCTCTCTGGCTCACACCGATGACAGTCAGTGAACTGTTGCTCCTAAGGAAGAGCTTTGGGGAAAGATGTAGCCAGTGACAGCTGGAGAGGTAGTGTCACATGATTTAACAGAAGGAAACATTGTTGTAGAGCAGAAAGAAAAGTATGCCCAATAATTAAAGAACAAACTAAGAGGTGACACAGCAGAGACATGCCTTACGGCTTTGTCCCAACCTTCGCCTGTATCTGAAACTTAGGTATTTGGGAACACTGTCCTGTCTCTTTGGCACCCTCTGCATTAGCCACCAAGCCTCCAGATGACCCTGAAAGATGGGACTCATACCATGCTGGTGAGGAAGGGCGAGTGAGTCTCATCAGGCGGTGCCAGCTTCCAGTGAAGAAGGTCCTTTTGCAGTCAGAGGGAAGGGATACACTCTTGCTGGAGAGAGTTCTGCATCCCACAGGGTCCTCACTAGCTAGTGTGAGGAGCTGATGGGAGAAGACTCAGCTCTGGCTGGATCAAATAAAGGACTGTCTGACTGATACTTGGATTATTTATTATTTGTGGATCTTCTTCTCCCCTTTCCTTGTGGACCGGGGAAGACTGAGGCTGTTACTGAAGGTGGTCTCAGCTGTGGTCTGTTTTTGCTTTGTTTTCCCCCAGAGGCACTTATGAGTGTGAGATTTTTAGTGTGGGGACTATTGTAACAGCACCCCAGTGAGAAGTCAGATCTCATGTCTGTAATCTATCTCCTGGGAGACATCTTTCCTTTCTTCCTTTCTAGCTTTCTCCAGATTGTAAGACCAGGTGGGACAAGGTAGTTGGGGCTTATCAGGGCTTGATGACTTTGTAACTGTGATTTCCTTTCTCTCTCAAAACAGATTTTTGAAATTGGAGGGAGAAGAGGGGAAGGGGGAGGTGTGAGGAGTGGGAGTAGGTGGAAGACAAGGAAGGAGGAGGAGGAAGGGGGAGGAGGAAGAGAGGGAGGAGGAGGAGAGAGGAGTACAGCTATTAAAGGTGAAGAATGTTATTAGCACAATCACATGCCATGAATTAAGCTTTCTTTGAATGACTAAGGTACTATGGTAGATCTTCACAGACTATGAGAAATACTACGTGACGCTCAGGGTCTC